ATTTGACATTTAAATATGATTTCCCTACGACTTTAAGTGTATGTGATAGAAATACTAGAGAAAACCCATCAGGGAATTAAATATTTATTAAAACTATTTACCAATAGCCAAAAAAACTCTTTGTGTACTCAGATTACACCCACTGGCTTTCTTTACTTTCTTCTGCTATTCATTCCCCCAAACCATCCTGGTTTATAGATATTGAACCCCACCTCATGGTTATTATTGTATTTGGGGCCGCTTAAGGCTAAATATTCACCCAAAGAAACCAAACTTACCAGTAAATTTAACCTTCCAAGTTTCCTCCTCCTACTGCTTGTGTTAATTTCATGTTGAAGTTCTGGTTCCTTCAACATCCACTCAGGTCCAAGCATTGAAAACTCGTCAGGATATCAATTATCGGGCTAATATTTCAATCCAGAGGCTGTTACTAGATAAATCGGTCATCAAAATCCAGATTACCGTCTGGCGCAGGATTATGTGTAACAAAAGTCTAAAACTATTTCTGGGATAAATTCAACACCCATCCGGATCTACACGATTCCTTCAGGGGACGAAAAAGAAAACGCTTCGCTGGAAGGTGAGAGCGTTTTATTTCCATAGCTGCTCCTTTGCTTCTGTCTTCTCGCTCTTTTCTGTTCCTCCTTCAGGCTTTGACCTTCAGCATTTTGGCTAACGTCTTTTAGCCTCTCAGAGACTCTGCTGCCCTCAGACTTTGTCCAACTGGCTAAATGAGATGTTACTAGGGGTGACTATTGGCAGGGGCGTTGCCATACGGGTCACGAAACTTGGGTCACAATACAATATTTTCAAAACATTGCAATATCACTATACATTGTGTTATTTTTCCAGCTATCAAATTAAATGTATAGATAAAAAAACAAGTGCTGTACATGTCCAATAGATGATCATTTAGTTATTTTGGTATCCATGTTGTTTGGGGTTTGAGTTGGTCCACGTCTTCCACAGTGACCGCCTCAACTACAGATATGGTGCTGCGCCGCACAGCAAAGAGCTCCACAGCTCTATCTGCCCATTCTCCCTCATTGTTTTAGCTAAAAAAAACTTTATTTCCCAATATCAGGAACTGAAAGACCAGTATCATATCAGACAGCCGAAAATCACAATATATCACCAAATGATTTTCTTTCCCTACATCCCTAGATGTTAGCATGAAAAGTTCATGACTGCTGGAAACGGTCATCCTACAGTTACTGCTTCTCCGGTCGTCTAAACACTGATATGCAGATTTATTAGAGCATCTTCAGTTCTGATAAATGATCCAAAAGTGATGCTTTGCTTTGAGCTCCATAAGCAGATCCTCTCCTTCTTCACTTCAGCTAAAGTCCATCTCCTCCTCTAACTGAATGAACGACAGGACAGACTCCTGGAATATCTAATAGTTCCTTAAAACAAGATTAGAAGAAAACCAAAAGGAAATCTGACCTCTGCAGCTTTCTGTCCACCAGCCTGAAGCCCTGCGGCGGCGGCTTCACCATCCCTGTGTGTCCCTGCGTGTGTGAGGAGTGGGCGGCTGTTTGCTGACAGCTAAAACAACAACATGTTTTGCTGCCACTTAATTCAATATGAGGATCTAAACCTGCAGTGGGTCCGGCTCGGCTCACAGAGCTGATGTCATTATGGGTCAGCGCCTGGTTTCTCCCTTTAAAAAAACTCCTGTTTCTCTCTGTGGTGAAATATAATAACACCCATCTTAGAAAGCAAACACTTCAATAAGATCGCTAATGATGAAGGGTTATTTAAATGAAAGGAAAGAAATAAAATCTGTTTTTAGATCTTTTAAATATAAACCTAAAAGAAAATTAAAACAACTCAGCAGCAGCTAAGCTGCATGACTGGAAGTTTTAAGGCTGACCAAATAAAATCCTTCAAGTTGGCCTGGATTTAGTTGCTTTGGTCTCATTAAGATCAACAGCAGCCATAATCCACAAACATGTGAGAAGTTAACCGGCACAATGCCATCGACACCAACTTTAAACTGTTTAACAAGCAGTAAAATAAGTACAGTGGTTCAGATAAAAACGATCTGAGGCGGAGAAGTAAAGGGAAGAGCCTTACCAGGCAGGCGGGGGGACATGGTCGACTTCTTCAGGCTGTTCTCTGAATGAAAGGAGGCGAGTCGCCTGCCTGTCAGTCACAGTCCAGGGACTTTTCGCTCCAGTTCCTGATCTACTCATTCCCTGATCTCTGATTGGCTTAGAGCTCACCCCTCCACCTGATTGGCCGTCGTCGGGGTAATGCCATTATCCCTCTGTGCTTCCTGTCGGGATCAGGTACTATTTCTGTCCAACCCACACACACTGCAGGCGTTATAGGCTCTAATTATCCAGCAGCCTGGGTCAATGGGGAGAGTGCAGGGGGGTGGGGGGGTCAAGCCGGATCAATCACAGAAGAGGAAGGGGGGGGTTCTGAATCGGGTTGAATCAATTCAAAAACACCGACGCAACCACTGATTAGAGGCGCAGCAATTAGTCCTCATTTGATCGATGCAGCATCCGATTCATTTAAAGCCTCCAGGGCAGAACGAGCAGCTCTTTAACTGATGAGTCTTTCATGGCCATTAGAAGCAAACTGGGATCAAACAGGAAATGGTTTATGGAAAAACTAGCAATAATTGGAGGGTTTTTAAAGGGAAACCATGTTCTTTTTAAAGGAGAAGTCAGCAAGCAATAATTATTAATGGATCATTATCTATACCTAATTTATAACTAACCTCACTAAGCAGAGTTAATCAGTAAAAAAAAAAAAAACAATTTTCTTCGTGATCACTGAGTCTGGGAGCGACCATTTTTGCCCAAATATAGTACCACCTCCCTCCTGACATCTTCCAGCAGTGATGTCCCGGTGCGGTAAGCCTAGCGCCATTCTTCCCGCTTTATAAGCAAAATCAATGGGAACTACTAGACACATCTGCAATCAACAACAATTACTGAAGATTTCAAGAGGACTTCACCATTGAAATTCACCAGAGCTATAGTGAAACTGATAATGCCCACGTGCATGGCAGCTGGATGTTGGAAAACATTGGGTAAAAGTAAAAAAAAAAAAGTTATTTCACCTTTCTAAATCATGATCCTCCACGGACGGGTTGATCGTTGGATTGCCAACTTGAAGAGGGAGGATTTGCCATCAAACTTCTGGCCAGAGAAAAAACACGTAATATGTAGCCAACATTTGGAAGAAGAATGTTTTCAAGATGACTTGGATAATAGCGCGTTGTGGCAAACACCAGATACAGCACTGGGACTTGATCAACAGCTGATACCACACAGTGACGTCACAAACTGGTAGGTGGCAGTGTTAGGATTCCAGTTTGTGTGGGTTGTTTTTGTGTTTTCCTCTATCCACCACCAGGTGGTGCCCTGTTCCTCGTTGGGCCTCCCTGCACACACGCAGCTCGTTGGGTTATTAACGGAGGAGTACTTGAGCAGCTGGCTGTCACTACCTCAACGCCAGAGTGTTTGCTAATCTCTTGGCTAGAGTACCCAAAACTGGCAGAGTCTAAACCTTAGCATTGTTTCTCTGAGTCTGAACTTGTTTTTTTGTCTTCAGCAGGAAGCCTTCAAGTGTAACTGGATAGCCTGGACCTTCTCCCCCTGGAAGGATCAACTGAGTTCACATTGAGTAGGGGAAAATCATCACACGATCTGTTCAAGTCCTCATCTGGAAAACCAAGTGACAGCCCACTCCTGTACTCCTCTGGGTTCAACGTGTGTCTGCCTGTCCCCCCTCCAACGAGTTCCCTCTTCTCTGGATTAAACCCCCACAAACTGGATTCAAGGATTAACAAAGAGCCCCCCAAAAGTGAGTTTCTCTCCAGCATATTCAAGCCTCAGCCATTTTTCCTACAGTACCTGAACTGATCACTGTGAACTCCCTTTCAGACTTTCTGGTTCCGGTTCACCAGTCCGCTGAGTTCCAGCTTCCTCTTCAGTGTTTTTCTACATTCAATAAACCTGTTAAACTTTTACCTTTGGTCTCTGAGTGGTTCTCTGCATGTGGGTCAGATCTCTAAAACCTGTTATGACAGACAGTAGTGTTCTTTGACAAACATGGATGTCTCCAGTAAAACACATTCAAATTAAAATTACTCTTAATTAAAATAATTTATCATTTATTGAACAGTATGAAATAATTTCATGTTTAAAGTACTTTCAGGAGTTTGAATTCTGAATATGACCAAACCTTTCCTTTAAAACATCAGAAAAAACGAACAAAGAAACTCCTTAGAGCAAACCAATGTGTTTTTTTATGCGAGGATGAACAGGTCTGGATGTTTTCTAAGGTTTTGTTACATCGCCATGGCAACAGAAGCAGGATCGTGCATCTGAAATCGACACCTGCAGGATACTGAGACGAGCTGGAGCTCGATGGGTCATCAGCTGCAGGTCAGACTGCATCCTCTGCATCTCCGTCCGTTAGAAAGTTTACTACTTCGCTGTCCCTCTGTTCTCCTTCATTTAGTAATATTTAGATTCAGATCGAAGGGAATTTTACAGTAATGCTGTTATTAATTGTGATTGCTGTTTTATTTTTAGCTATAATTCAGATTTCTCCACATTATTATTTTGGTCCTTCGCCCCACTCAGTCGGTGGAAGCAGATCAGATTGTTTTGAACAGTGAAGCTCATCCAGGAGGGATTATTGCAAAGTCACTAGCGGCACTTCCATTGATCCCCAAACTGCGTAAATAAAATTAGCTTAATGGTAAAATGTTGTTTTAAAAATAAATGAACATTGTTCTAAGAAATTTTTCAGGCGAATCAAACCCGGAGTAATTGACCAAATTAAATCACTTTTTTTCCATCGTCAAATCAGACAAATCATGAACAACAAGATGATGGTGCAGCTTGATTTCAACCAGTTAGTGAGTTAAACTTATCCATGAGTCAATTTCCTTTTATTTCATAAAGAATGGAAACACCACAGTTTGGTCAACATTAGCAGAATGGTGACACATTTTGGTACATATTGTAATGGAAGGAATATGGAAACTGCATTAATGTTTTTATTTAAAGAAGCCTTCATCAATTAACTCCATATTTCTAAGTGGGAGAACTTGCAAGTTGGCGTTTCTTGTTATTACATTGACATTCAATTTTTGCCTTAAAAATATCCATATTTTTTTAATGTTACAAAGGTAATAAGGTCTTGGATCCTGGATCCTAATAACAGTATTGGCTTGAAATTTGGATTTTCATTGAGTGCCCATTAAAGGGTTAATGGTGTCCCACAAATACTGAAAATTTAAAAAGTGTAAAACTAATTTCTAAAGATAAAAGTAAAAAAAAAAAAAAACTTTAAAAAGTAAAATAAAATCTGAGAAACCAGCAAAGTTCCAACCTTTTTTGATAAAAAAAAAAAAAAAAAACATTTTCTTTGTGGATTGCATTTTTTTCGTATTTTGTTTTACAAAATGTGTTCTTTGCAAAAATAATGGAACAAAGTTCATGCCATAAAAAGCAGCTACATATGCTAGCTTATGCAACCAGATGCCAATTCTTAAGCTCATCCTCAAAGCATTTGAAAAACAAATGTCCAGGTATGAGGATTTTATCCACTTTAAGAATAAAAGTTGGTTTTTAACCAGGTAATAATCAGTTTTCGCTCTGCAAAAGCCTGCTTGCTGTACGTGTAAGCACACTGAGGGTTAAAAACACATCAGCAGAGCGAATCTTTTCAACTTGATGGAGTTTAAATTTATGAAAGGATGGGAAAATGAGAGGGATTACTGGGAGTACTTAAATCATCAAGCCGGAAACGGCATTAGATTCTCGAAAAAGAAGCTTCAACATCAGTCTACTGCTGCGTCGCCTCGACGACTGAGCATCCACCAGAACCACACACGCTGTGAGGAGCAGACAGAGGAGTAAAGGTCACATGGTGTCTTCAAGGCATGTGATATAATGCAGCAATGGGAGGCAACTGGTTACCATCCGGGGCTTACACAACCACTGACGCTCGGTTACATCACATCATTCCACGTTAGGGATGGGATGTGGGGTCTGGGTTCTCAATGAGTCCAAACATCTTTAATAACAACTAGTTTGTTCTCTCCAAGAGATGAATGAGGGATGACCTGATGACCGCGTTTCACGCTTTCTCTCAGCGTGAATGCTGGCAGGCTCCTTCCAGTCACAAGCGTCTCGGTGCATTAGAGAACAGGAGACCCAGCCTACGGGGACAGGTCATGTGACCGCACACAGGAGGTCCCTCTCTTCACAGCTGCAATAAAAAAAAGCTGCTTTTATTTTTGATAACCGAGTGTAGATCCTGCAGACGCCTTGCTTCCCATCTGTCTTTGAGATTCCACAGCAGGTTTCTGCAGATTGTCACCACTCCCACGATGCATCTGTGGCCATGACACCTCTAAATGTTTGGGCTGCAGATTGTGAGACTGTTGGCAGTGCGGTGTCACATATAAATTTGTGATATTTTTCAGTTATTCTTAGGTGAATAAACCTGTTTACGGTTAATGCACAACGAAGCACATTTATGCCCACATGTAAAAGAAGAAGGAAACATTTTCTAAATGCCAGCAGAAAACCTGGTTCTCCTGCAATCCTGCTTCTGTTCCGCCTCCTTTAGAGGCATTGCTTCTCTAACAGTCTGATGGAGGGGTCACCGATAGGCGGACCCCGATCAAGATCCTGATGCAAGTGATGTCTCATGTGGAACAGAAACTGATACCAAAACAGAAACAACAACCTAAAATCTTGTTGAGCACGAAATAAAAAATGTATGACGGAGGAGATTCATCCACAAACTCTGACACAAAACTCTCCTCCTCTTGCATCTTTCCGCTTTCCATAGCGTTCCTTGACAGTGTTGTTTATAAGTCACCAATTTAGTGCCACAACAATCCCGCCCCCTTTATAAACGACCAATCACATTCACTTAAATCACTCGTGTAAAGTCGGGCACCACTCGGGAGAATTCAGAAATGCAGCGGTAGGAACAGCCATATCCCTACGACTTTAATACATCTAAAAATTAAGCTAATACTGGGGTCAAAGGTTATGCGGCACATCTTTAATGCTTGTTAGTAACCAAGAGATGACAGGGTTTAAAGGGTTGGTTTGTGATAAGGATGAAAGTTAATGACTAATGAATGGATAAAAAGTTTATTGATCTTATCGATGGACTAATAATAACAGGACGATCTTTCAATAACAGGGTGGGATGATTTTTTTTCAAAATATGCTATGTTTGAAATATATATATATGGTGCATCCTATTTTTTGGAATGTTTTCACACAAACATTTTAGTGAAAAATAAAAATATCAGTTACTTAATCAGCTTCTTTTTGGCAGAACTGATTTTTTTCAACCCCAAACCTTCTGGAAGCATCGGAGCTGCAGTCGGACTGAATCAGCTTTGGATAACTGGGACGCCGACAGTTTGTTTAAAGCTGGATGAATGTAAAGGGAGCCTGGGGACGGAGCACCTGTCTCCCTGCGTCTCCGTCTCCCCGACACGTCCCCCGTGTCTTTGTCTGTCTCTGAAGGTCACTGCTGTTTATCTAAGAGTTACACAACCACCCATTGTGGAGGGAAGTGGGTCTGTCTCTCTCTCTCACACGCCAACTCTTATGATTAACGTTGCCATAGCAACAGAGAGTGCAGAATCCATCCTGCAGCTTTCCACACAGAAGTCTGCAGCATCTGATCAATCATTCCCCGCCTGCTTTCTGACCTCTGACCTGTGCAAAGTGGCGCACTGAAACCAGAAAACCCATGAGAATGAGGATAAAACCAGTGGAAACTAGAAATCCTGCAGAACTAAAGTCACTTTTAAGCAAATATGTCGTCCTCAAAGCGAAGCTCAACTCCACCTACGATGTTAGCGTTAAACCATCAGATGACTCACCATGGTGATCACGTATTCACCGGGTACAACCCGCCAGCCAAAGTGATCCGGTTCCACATCCTGATGCAGCTGTTCCAGCAGGTCCAGGCTTCGCCGGGCGCCCAGCTCCTGCTGACGTCGAGACGCGGGCCGCTCGGGGTGACGGTGGTGGTGCTGGTGGCGCTGATGGTGGCGATGGAGGTGGGAGCGGGACTCTGGCAGCTCGTTCTGCTCTCTATGGGGGTACAGAGATGGAGCGAGGCGACCCGGCTGAGGAGTAGGGAAGGAGCCTCCGGCCAAATACTCTGAAAGAAAAGGAGGATTCGTTCGGTTATTTCTGAACCTTCAAAGCAGGAATCAAACCGACTGCATTTCTAATCAGCAAAGGGAATGCTGAAATCTAACAAGATCAAAACAGAACAAAATATTAGGAATAATAATAAACAAACAAAATAAAAGAGGAATAAAACTAATAAATTAATTTCTGCTTAGAATGATTAAAAAGTAATAAAGAATGAAAAAAAAGATGCAGGTTGATACAAAAATTATGTCAATGGTAAACTTTTAAAGCTTAGGGATTTACTTTTAGCTGGCAGTGGAAGTAAAGGGAAACCTTCTCTGTTTTCTTAGTACTGCCACCTGCTGGACTGAAGGTATACAGTAATACTCAGACCAACTGATTCCACAGGACTCCCGTTAGCTGGGTGATAAAAATTGCGGAACAAGAAGTTCATTTTCTTTTGATGAGCAGGTAGAGCCAAGAGGTGATTTTGGCCACTCCAGCTCCCTGTATTTAGTGTATTTAGTAGTTAGTTCGGGTCAGGAAGCAGCAAAGGCACAGCAATAAAGCGTGCCTCCCATTTATGGCCACACAGGGCGTAGTCCTTCACATAACCGAAACAGGTTCAAATCCAAACTATTGACTTTTTGCCCCTAAAATTGTAGGGAATCGGCCGTTCTAATCTTTTCTCCCGAGTGGTGCCCGACTTTACACAAAAGAATAAAGTGAATGTGATTGGTTGATTATCAAGGGGGCGG